GGGATGCAGGCAGCGATGCCCGGGGAGGGATGCAGGCAGTGCCCGGGAGTGATGCAGGCAGTGCCCGGGGAGGGATGCAGGCAGTGCCCAGGCAGGGATGGAGGCAGCGCCCTGGAAAGGAGGCAGGGAATGCCCAGACCGAATCGCAGGAAGCCGGCAGGGACACCGGCTTCTCCCGGGGCTCTGGGGAGGTGCCGATGGGAGAAGATCCTCCCATGTCCCCCCTGCAGCGTGCTGGGTGCAACACCGTCACCCCGCCGCTCCCCGGCGACCAGCAGCCTCTGTGCCCTCACGCCCAGCCCGTGGGAGCCCCCTGAGGTCAGAGTCCCTCGGGGGAGAAGGGTACGACCCCTCCCAGGGAGCCTTCCCTCCTCTGACACTGCTGCTCGGTACACTCTTGGGCACATCACTTCACCTCCTTGCTGTGTCAGCCCCTGGTCCACCTGGCAGGGCTGGGGGTTTTTCTGTGCCCGCTGTCACCAGGGGGTGCTCTCAGGCCAGAGGGGTGAGAAATCCCCCCTAAGGGAGGGAAATCTCTGTTGCAGTGTCTGTATTTTTGGGGATGTCTCACACCTGACCATTTACCTGTGTGCTGGATGGTGAGGAAGATGCTGGTCGCACCTCCGGGGAGCGCGGTCCAGGCCCCTGCAACATGCTGCCGACGGACTCGCCGCACCTCTCTGCTTCTTGAAGCAGACCCTGAACTGGGGTCACCAGTGAGCACCAGGGCGTCTCCGTGGGTCTGGCTGCGATCACACAGGCTTGGCTGAGCCCAAACACTGGCCACGACACAATCAGGCTCCCCCCAGCCTTGTCAGTGCCTTTGGCTGAGAAAAACCTCATGTCCAGGGGCTCCTCTGCAGGGTGAGGAGAGGGTACAAGTGGAAGCACATTATCATACCCTTCCTGTGGGAAAAGGGGACAGCAGACACAACCCCACAGCTCGGGGGGATGAGGGCAGCTGGCAAAACACAGGACAGCCCTTGTGCCACTGTGCCCAGGCTGGGGCTGAGATCAGCGCCAGGCAAAGAGAGTCAAAACCCCTTTTCTGTGTCTCACATTACACCCAGGCTTTCAGAGATCTGAGGCTTATTTCCCTGCAGAGCTGCTTGATGCTCGCAGCTAGGGAAATATTGAGGTGTCCCTGGGGGTTGTCACTGGCCCTAGATGCTGCTCTGCCTCCACAGACCCCCAACTCCCCTTCCCTCATCGCCATAAAGCGGCCCTGAGCCCTGGAATATTTCTGGGAGAGGGCAGGGATCGCGCCTGCATCTGAACTTGCCTGCACAATTCAGGCTCCAGCCTCGGGGCTATTTTTAGCAGTTCCCTCTGAGATGCTCTTCACTTGCAGTTTTATTTGTGAAATTTAATATAGGAGGGAGGGAGGAGGGGAGCGGGGCTGGATCCTGGTGCGTCCCCGCTGGCTGGGAGGCTTATCCCAGCCTCAGCGACAGAAGACTGACACAAACCTAAAATCATCTGTCTACGAGCTCCGGTGTCCTGGCACGCAGGCGACAGCAGGGGACAGGCAGAGCTGATGGCTCGGGGGTGCTGTGGTCAGCCCCTGCCTCTGCCACAGCCTCCAAACTCCTCGGGCAAGTCCCTGCCTCTCCCCGTGCTGCATCGTGCACTCGGGGACCTGCTGTCACCCGATGCTGGCCCTCAGCACATGTGCTGGGATGGAGCAGGATGCGTGCGAGGCCGGCAGGAGCAGCGGGGATTTTGGGGAGCCTCCAGCCAGAGCAGCAGGGTGCTCCCAGGGAGATCCTTGCCCCACGGCATGGGCCTCAGGAATGGCGAAGGACTGTGGGGACCAGCCACCCTGGATCAGCTCCCAGCCCGGGGAGCATCACCTGTGTCCCCTGAGGTCCCAGCACCAGCAGCTAACGATGCTAATGAAGAAAACCCAGTTTGCACAGTACAGCATGGCCCAGGGTTGTGTGTCCCCATTTACAGGGCAGGAGTGTGCCTGCAAATCCAGAGCAGCAGGAAAGACCAATTTCTCCCCAAGGAGCCCCTGACAGAATGGGGAGGGATGGAGAAACCTTTCCCTTTGCCACAGGACATGAAGCGGACAGCGGCCGAGCCCTGAACATCTTGCAGCAGCTTTTGTTCCTGTTGAGCCCAATGCTGCCCCAGGCCCACCCCCAGCACGATGGCAGGAGCTGACCCACAGGGGGGAATGAGGATCCCATCCCACCCCATCCCCTCCCCAAGGGCTGGGTGTGCAGCCTATCCCAGGCACACCAGGGATGCAGGAAGGGACACAACAGCAACATCAGTGACCCCAAAGCAGCCTGTCACTGTTGCCACTAGACGCACACCCCAGCTTCTAACACAAAAACATCCCAGTGTGGGGCAGCACGGGCTGACAGCACCTGCCAGCCCAAGTCCTCGGAGGGTAGAAGTTGCCTCATCTCCCAGTGCCGCTAAGCCAAGGCTGGGCAGGGGTGAGGGAGAGTTGCTCTGCTTGAGAGCAGCACCTCCCAAACCTGCTTCTTGTGTTGTTGAGTTGCTGCCCACCTCCAGTGATGGGTTTGGGGCTGCCTGAGTGTGGCTCTGACCGGGTACAGAGGCTTTGCAGCCCAACCCACCCTGCCCGAGGGAGGAACAGAGATGGCAAAGCCCTCTGGAAAACGGCAGCACCAGCCCAGGGCAATCCAAATGCATCAGCACCTCATGTGATGCATCAGTGCCTCATGATTTTATCATTTCACCACAAGGAAAGCAGGTCACATTCCACCCAGACCACCTGGGGCCCAGAAAGGGATAAACGGGTACCTACACCCTCCGCTCCCCATCACACGCTGTCCGTGTCGAGGTGCTGGTGCCCCCTGCAAGCCAGGGCCCTTTTCCTGCTGCCCTTCAGGATAAGAGAGCAGCAGCTGGAGGCAGAGGACTGAGGATGACTGTCACCTGACCCTGCAAGCCCCTGTTTTGGAGGATCTCTGCTGTAGAAGTCGCTGGTGAAAAGAGGATGAAAGGCTCCCGCTGAGCAAAAAGTCTCCTTCTCACCAAATCCATCCCACAGGCAGGGCCAAAAGCAGGGGAATCGGATCCTCTCGCCAGCCCCACAGAGCCACACGCAGCCACAGCATCGTGGAAATGAGTTTATTGACACGGACGGCAGGTAAAGCCTGAAGAGCAACACAACTACGCGGCGAACACTCGAACGAGCGGCGCGGCAGGAGAGGAGGGCGAGACGCCACTGACCGAGCCCAGGCTCTGCCCTGCAGCACAGAGACACCCGCGCGGCCGAGGAGCTGGGGAGAAACGTGGCAAGAGAAGGGGGTGCTCAGCAGCCCCTCCCCACCTCGAAGCTACACCGGCTGTCTAGTGGAGGAGGCTTAAGTGTCTGTTCCTGACCCTCTATCATCTCCTCCCTGACCCGGCACAGCGTCGTACTCAGTGCCACTGGTGCTTCCTTAATTGCTCTATTAATGATTTTTGCAGTGCACCCGCAGGGCTTGAAGCAAATCACCTCCCAGCACACACGGGCAAGGGGGGCAGGGCTGGGTTGCTCCAGCTCTGCCCCACTTTTTACCCAGCCAGAGCACGGGGGTTCCTACACAGTGACACCACTTCTTGGGGGTCCTACAGCTCCCCTGCCCTGCTGGAGTCTCTTCCAGGGCATTGTGACCTTTCCCCACCACTGGCTTCTTGGTTGCAGACAGTGCCAAAGCCCTGATGAACCATCTCCCACCGTGAAACATTTATTGACTTTGAATGTGGCATCTAAAAAGACAACATGAGGGTTGCTATGCATAAGAGCTTTACTTGCTGGGGAGGAGATGGCACCAAAGCATGCTGGGGAGGACAAAGCTGTTCTGGTTAGTGGCTTGGTTTAAGCAGGACAAGCTATGGATGGAGCAAGGACATGCAAGAGGCTTTGCTTTCACTGCTGTTGCCGCAGCACTTAGTGGTTGCAATGTGGTGAGTCCACAGCCATGGACTGGAAAATGAGAAGGTCCTGGCCCTAAGGATAGGTTGGAAAAGAAGGGCCAGGGCATGGGGCTGCTTGGGACAGAGGGTAAGAGCAGGAACCCAACTGGCCCTTGTTACCATGTGCCTCTGGGCACAAAGAGCTAAGCTGCAACTGGAAGAAACGCTTCCACAATCCACTCACTCCCAGCCCAGGCAGGACCTGAAGCCCCGAGGCAGGCAGGGTGCAAACACCGCCAAGCCCAAACCATCTCCCATCACGCCACAGCGGGGGTTTTGGGGGACAGCACAGGAGTAGGGAGAGCCACTCCGCTCCCAGCAGCACCCCGGGACACTGCCAGCAGCAGCCTCTCTCTGCAGGGGCAGGGCTGTGTGGCCCCGGCAGGGAAGCAGCACTGCCACATTCAGGTTTACCACCGCGGGCCTCAGGGATGGGCAAAGGCAGCACAGCTCAGGCAACGGCTGAGAAGGCAGTTTGGCCATAGCAGGCACCGAAAGAACAAAGAAGAGAGGCTGCAGATGGGCAAGGTGCAGAGACCATACCTGGAACTCTAAGCAGGCTCGTTTCCTTCATTTCCTCCACCCAGTCCCGTTATCAATCTAGGCCTCCAACTCCGCCCCACACAAAAGCAGCCTCGCTTCTCAAATCAGCAGCTAATGAGCCAGGGAGATGGCTGGAGTGAAAACACGCCATCAAAAGCAGAGCTGAGTCTGCCAGCACAAGTGTAATAAAAAAACCCCTTCTCTTTAGGGCTCCATCCGCCTCCACGGACTGAACTGATGGCTCTGTTCCTAGTTCCCCGAGGCCGTGCTCACCCTGCTAGAGCCCAATGTCCCTGCAGGGCTCCAAATACTTCCTTGGAATCACCTTCCCTTTAAGCCAATTACAATAGAAAAAACTCAAAAAAAAATGTATAAAAATATAAAATAAAGTGCAGTGTTATGTTTTCGACAATTTTGCCTTGTTTTAATGAGCCAACGTGTGGTTTTTGCTTGTTTTTTTTTTTTTTCAATGAGCGGTATTTTACAAAATTGTAACTACGCCTAAAGCCATTTAGAAAACACTGAACATTGGCACAAAATGGAGAAGCCCACAAGAACGGACAAGTGAGGGGCGAGGGGGACGTGGGAGTAGTTGAAGCAGTGGTTACAAACTCCATGGACGCTAAAAATATCAAAGGGGTTTGTTCCCTATCATCATTAGCACGTGGATACTAATTGCTACCTTGTTTAATCAGTGCCTTTGACTGAAATCCTACACATGAATACAGCTGCTTCCAGTTAAGAGTGCTTTTCCCCACACCAGTGGTGAAGGAGAATCCGGGGACCCCTTTCTCCCCCCTCCTTCTGCAGGGTGAGGCACAGGCTGATCTCCTGTTAGTTTTTCAAGATGGCATCGTAGGCCTGGTAGATGTACTGGGACACTTCAGGAGCTCGGCATTTCAGGGAGAGCTGTGGAGGAGAGGAGAGGTTAGCAGAGGTGTGAGGGAAGGCAGGAGCTTTCTACCATCTCCACAAAAGCGACTGGAAATGTCTGACCTGCAGCATGAGTTGGACACATCATGGGTGTAGCTGATGACAGTCACCCAGAATATTTCTCCTGGATACTGTCACCAACACCAAATTGCCTCTTCAGAGCTTGCTACAAGCAGGAGGAGGTACATGAAAGCAAACTCCCACTGTGGGGTTCCCAAATTCCTTAACAAGTGTAGGTGCCTCTGCAGGCATG